GTGTGTGTGTGTGTGTGTGTGTGTGTGTGTGTGTGTGTGTGTGTGTGACAGAGAGAGACCTGGACAAAGAGAGAGTCAAAAGTTAAGAGCCCTAATTTTTCCACTCTTATTCATTCAAACTCTCTTCTATCCTTCAATCCAATGGTTCCTAAGACATCAGGCACTCACCCACCACAAAGGCATCTCAGAATCCTCCTTAGTTTCCACCCCACCCCACTGCTTTGTCAGGCAACTCACTTGTTTGTCCAGTCCTTATTCCATCCCTTACAACTGCCCTAATGCTGACTCTGATGAGAAATGTGTCCATTCTCCAGCTAGGGAGAGGGGGAGGACTCAGGGCTTGGGTCAATGACTTGTGCAAGTATCTGCACAGGTAAAGAGTACCCACACCCAGAGGGGAAGATGGGACAGCAGGGAAAGGATATAAACTCATGTTCCTCCCCTGGAAACTGCAGCCAGTTATAAAAGGGGGTGGGGGTGAAGGAGAAGCTTGACTCTGAATTACATTAAGCTACAGGCAATTACATTTATTTCTGCTCCAATGCTCTTGTCTGATTAGGCCTGAGCAGCCCCAGTCCCATTAGCTCAGCCTTTATCAGTGTATCTGTGTGGTCAGTGACCCTGCTGGCTTCTGAAGTCCTGCCTCCCACCTTTAAGCCTCCTCCCAGAGCTCCCTAGGCTTAAGGCATATAACATACATGCTCACAATCACACATAGAAACACAACTACTGGGGCAGCTAGGTGGCACAGTGGATAGAGCACCAGCCCTGAAGTCAGGATGACCTGAGTTCAAATCCGGCCTCAGACCAAACACTTGACACGTACTAGCTGTGTGACCTTGGGCAAGTCACTTAACCCTGATTGCCTCACCAAAAAACAAACAAACAAAAAAAAGAAACACAACTACCACCATAGACATGATCACACACAATCACACTCAGATAACCATGTAGTCACATAATCACTGCCACATTCACACAAAGACATGCACAGTCACACAGAAGACCATACAACCCACCTTTCCTACATACACATAGAAGGACACTTGGGACACTCCCATACTCTCACCCCAGGGGGATATTTCTCAGATTACCTATGTTTCACCTTAATTACTGTTTATGGAAGCTGCTGCCAGGATTTCTGTCTCAAATCTCTGACACTTCTTCCACCATCTCCCTCAAACCTTCACATGAGATTTTATTGCCCCCACTACCATGGGGAATCTAGATAAATCCCTTCCCTCCAGTATTAGAGTCAACTCTCAGTTATCTGAGGGCAGAGATCACTTACTTGGGAGTGATTGACTGTCATATTGACTCAAGGGGAGAACTGGTGACTGTCCCCAAAATATCCCAGAGAAAGACATTTTTGGATAATTGGCTCCCCATTGTGACCTCTCTTGCAGGAGAAAATCAAAAAGTGAATGAAGAAACAAACAGAGCTGAGGTAAAGATGACAGGATTATAGATCCTGATGGAGAGCTGGATGGGACTTTAAATTACCTAATCCAACTCCTTCATTTCACATGAGAAAACTGAGGGCCAGATCATAGTCATTGCCCATGTGCAACGCAGTCAAGAGTCAGAGGTCACTGTCACCATCCACGAGCCAGATAGGTTCAGGGAGCCTATCTTATTACTCATTATCCTGTTCATTTGGGTCAGGGTCAGGATCAAGGGTCATGTACTCACTGCCCACGTGCAGCAGGGCCTGGTATCGAAGGTGCCAGGAGGAACCCTGGTAGCAGGCGTAGTGACCACTGTGGCTAAGGTCCAGGCCCTCAAGGACCAACTGGGAGCCATTAAGGTGAGCAGCCTCCAGGTCTGTCCCGTTGACCCTCCAGGTAACTGCTGTGTCCCAGGCTGCTGTCCCACAGGGAAGGGTCACGTCTGAGCCCAGGCGTTCATACAGCACGTGAGTATCTGGAAGAAACAAGTGACAGGTCATCCCAGACATCTCAGCCTTGTGAAAGACAGTTGTCCCACTCAAAAACTGAGCCCCCCTCCCTCTTGAACCTCCCATCTTTCATTATCTCTGCTGCCCAAACCCATGTCTGTGAAAATCTAGATGTTTGTTGTGTATAATAAGGCTTTGTGACTATCACGCCAATAGCTCAATTTATTCATTTAAAATATTTTATCAATAGACCTCCTCCTCTAGCTCCAATGTGCTCAGGAAAACTGGTGTCTGAGACAAGAAATGTAAACTTCAGTTTTTCCTCCATTGATTGATCCTGACCCTAACAACAACCCCAAACCAGACAGTGAGATGCTGATCAACCCAGATGCTGTCCCTTGTCCTGATCCCAGATGAACGGTACCCTGAGACCTACCCCAAACTTGACATTGACTCTAACCAGGCTATTAACAGTGACTGTCTCTGATTCCAACTCCAAAATCAAGGTGACAAATTCCTCTTATTTTGCAACATCCTGCTTCATAGTGTTTATTTTGGGAGGATGTCTGTGGGGACAGAACAGTTCTAAAGTTCCAGATAATTCACAGGCTGATAAGCAAGAAAGAATTAACTATATACATCCTGAACTCAGATCACCTCTGTCACACACACACACACACACACACACACACACACACACACACACACAAACCTGAAGCCCAGTTATTCTCCTCTCTGAGGCCTCAGACCCAGGAGACCCCAGACAAGTTTTGGTTCTGACACAATCTCCAGAAAATGACTCCCTGTAATTCTCATGCCCATGTGTCCAGTACCTCCATGTCCCTAATATCCCTGTGTCCTCAGTATACTCATTATTGTGCCCACTCTCCATTCCCTTTCCTGTCAGCCTGAAAACTATTCTTCCATGTTCTACTCCCCTCCCCTAACCCTGAACATGGAGTGGGGCCCAGACAACAGCAACAGCAGGCAGAACAATATGGGCAAAACAATTGGGGCCTGGAGACGGATCATTGTGCAGCTGTCACCTGGCGCTGGGAATCGAACCCTGGCCAGGCAGGGTTGAGGGGGAGAGAAGGCACTCAGGCCTGTCAGCTCACCTGCCCCAGGAGAGGGGGCCTGTCAGAGCCAAAACCAACACCCTCCTCCTCCCCCCAGCCCTGAGCAACCAAGGCGTGACTGAGCTGAAAGACAAGGGAGCACCTGTCAGAAAGAGAGAGAGAAAGAGAGGAGACAGAGAAACAGAGATCAAAAGACTGGGGGAATTTCAGGGGGTGCTGGAGAAGGGTGTAGAGAGACATAGAAGAACAGAGAGAGAGGTGGGAGGAAGACAGAGAGAAAGAAGAAATGGTTACAGAATGAGAAAGATAACCATTATATGGAGGGAGGGTAAAAGGGAGTCAGACCATTGAGAATAGGGATGGGTAGGTCTCATGCTACCGGCCCCAGGTCTCTGGAGTGACAACCTCCTCTCAAGGGTCTCCCCAGGTGCCAGGCCAGGGCATTGTCTCTCAGACCACATCATTCCTTTCAGGATCATTCACTTGTCCTTATCTCTTTCCCTCTGTGACACCAGACCTAGGAAAGACTTTCCCATGTTTGGAATGGTTGAGAACAAGCCCAGCTAAAAGCAGGGGCAGGGACCTAACTCTCCAAATCTGGGGGCAGGAAGTCTCTATGCCTGGAATAGGTTCCTACCTTATCTGTGAAGATCTTCCCTTTTCAAGGTCCAGTTTAGGTGCCACTTGCTCCATGAAGATTTCCCTGATCATTCTGAATCACGTCCCCACCCCCTTCTCCCTGGAAAGAAGCTCTCTCTCCTTCTCTAAATCTTACAGTGTGAGATCTTTCCTGTGCCCCCTGGTCTTATTCTAACTTGCACTATCATAATTTATGCATCCATTTCAATCCTTTACTAGAATGTAAGTCCCTTGAGGACAGAGACTATATTGTTTTTTATCTTTGTATCATCATGCACCAATGCAATATGCGGCACATTGAAAGGGACTGTTGTTAGGAGGAAGAGATGAACTGGACCTGTGATTTCACTGGTGGGAGGAATTCCTGGTGTGGAAACTCCTTGCACTGTTGCAAATCTGCAACTCGGCTATAATTATAGTCTTAGAGGAGGGATGCTTAACCATTTTTGTGTCCTGTACCCCCCTGGCAGTCTGGTGAAGCCTATTGACCCCTTCTCAGAATAATGGCTTTAAATAAGTAAAATAGGGGCAGCTAGGGTGGCACAGTGGATAGAGCACCAGCTCTGAAGTCAGGAGGACCTGAGTTCAAATCTGGCCTCAGATCAAACACTTGACACTTACTAGCTGTGTGACCCTGGGCAAGTCACTCAACCCCAATTGCCTAAAAAGAAAATAAGTAAAATAAAATACACAGTATTATAAAAGAAACTAATTATATTTAAAAATAGTTATCCAAAAAAATTTTTAACCCCAGGTTGAGAGGCCTTGTCTTAGAGATATAACTGGGGTCAATGAGAGATCAGGTGACTCATACATGGTCACAGTGCTAGCATGTGTCAGAGACAGTACTTGAGCCTACATCTTCCTCATTCCAAGGCCTAACTTCTATCCACTGTTTCATGGTTCCTCTGATCTAATACTTCAACATTAGATATTTGGTAAAGTGAACAGCTCTAAATTCACTCAGCCCAAAGGTGCTTTCTGTCACCATACTACAAGCTTCCAAATGACTCTCCCTGCATTAGGAGAATGGAATGAAAGTCACTAAGTGTCTACTAAGACACCTTGTGTGCCTAACCCTGTGCTGGCTGGCTGCACTGTGGGGACAGGTGCCAGAGAAGAAGATGATACGGGTCATGCCCTTGGAGAGCTCAGAACCTGGTTAGGAGATGAGACACATGTGCATGGAGATTCACAAGGATAAAGAAGAATACATGCTCAAAGATAAATATGTGGATAGGATTCCAAGTGGAGGGAAATCAAAATGGGAGAGATCAGCATAGGCCAGAGTGGTTGGAGATAGCACCTCTGGAGGAGGAGGCATTTGAACAGGTGGGTTCAAAGATGTCTGGGAGAAGGACTGTCACAGAGGAGGGTGGGAATGGAGAATACACATGCATAGCCGGAGACAGGAGCAAAGTCAAGACATTCACAGAATAGTGAGAGGCCTAGTTCGGCTGCAACAAGTATTTATGTAGGGGAGGAGGGGAAGAAGTTAGATTGTTGAGGCAAAGTGGGCTAGAAGAAAGTAAGGGTGCTGCCTTCTCATTCCTCAATCTCTCCTCATAGAAACCAAAGTCCAGTGCTCTAGCACTGGAAACGGTCAGGACAGGGATGGGGGAGTAATGATAAATGGACACTTCAGCCTGTTTGTTTGGCTCTCCTCCTGCCTCTATCACACCCTGCCCTAAAGCTAGCTTCTCCTCTTTCTGGGAATGGTGGTGGGGTGGGGGATTGGGTAGGGAAGCTCTAGCTGATCAAGCCAACATCCCTCCCTCTAGTTCCCTGCTAGCCAGTATCAAAGAACCCTGTTACATGCAACTCTGCTCAATGTGCTTTCCAGCATTCAAAGAAGTTCTTAATGTTTCTCATCTCCTCATATTCATATGCCACACTTCCTCACATATTTGTGTGCTCTGTGGTATTAACTCTCACCAAGAGCAGTTATGTCCCACCACCTGCACGAGGATGCCTATATGCAGCCTTTTTCCAAAGAAATAATCTCAGGTCACAGCAGCAAAGATAGAAGTTAGACTAAGAAAGCTTTTCTCACTTCAAAGTGGAGAGCAGGCCAGATGAGGGTGGTTGTAATTATATTTATTTGAAATAGTCTCTCCAGTGTATAGGCCTGAACTCTCAACTGCTCCTTCCTACACCTTGGGTTATATATGCCTCCAGCATGGAAGAACGAATACAGGGGACAGAAAAAAAGGCAAGAAAGTGATTTGATTGGGGAAGGTAACAAAAATCACACCCTGCCAAAAGTTTCACCCACTCCTGGATGCCCCTAGAGATCCTGCCCAATAAGCAGGACAGATAAATAGATGAATGAATGGATGGCTCACCCCCATACCATTCTACCTAGTAGAATACTCAAAAGGATGGAGTGACAGACAGATGGACACCTCCCTCAGTGAGACAGATGGATAAATAGCAAAAAGACTCAATCAATAGCTGTTGGTTGATTAGGTAGCTATACCTAAAGCCAGAGCCTCTGAAGATTTCTTATTAACGTTCCTGCTAACTATTTCTCCGTCAGGAGAGTAGACCTGCTGAGTCTGGGGGGGATTCCTGTTAACAAGCCAATTAAGGCCAGGCCCAGGCTATCCTCAAAGAGTCTTAATTACACTTGTTAACAAAGGGCCTCCAATCCTTCAGAGGATTGGAGGGTTGGGAGCCCCACCCCCTCAGTCAGGTCACAGGATCTTGTATCTGGACTCAGGTCATATTAACAGGTCCTCTCCCCAATTATTATCCACTTCCCCCTCAGTTCCTCCCATTTAGAGCTCAGGGCAGGGTGGGGATATGATTCCCATACCTTGGTCTTAGAAAAGACACTTCCATCCAACCTCTGGGGAAATTCTGGCTTACTAAATTCCAACAAATTTCCCTGTAACATTCTCAGAACCTCAATGTGGGGAGATGGGGATCTCTAGAGAGTGTGGGTCACCCCTGCTCCTGTCACTGATTGGTCTGACTTTTGATGTCCCACCTATGCAGCTGGTAGCAAAATGGATGGAGCAAGCACTGGGCCTGGTCAAAAAAACCTGAATTCAAATCTGGACTTAGATACTTACTATCTGTGTGGCCCTGGGCAAGTCACTTAAGCTCTGCCTCAGTTTCCCCAACTATAAAATGTGGTAATAGCACCTACCTCCCAGAGTTGTAGTGAGGATTAAATGAGATAAAATGTATGAAGTGCCTAGCACAGTACTTAGCACACAGTAGGCATTCAATAAATGCTTGTTCCCTTCTCTTCCCCTCTTCCCATGTCCTTGGATGAATTAGGCACTTTGACTGCTAGGAAG